CAGATGCAGTTGTTTTTTACTAGTTGCTGTTGGAAAAGCAGGCAAAATTGATTGACGTTCGTCTCCTTCTCGAAGTGTTTTATATTTGTAGTAGGTTTGACATGTAGCAGCAGTAGTAGTAGTAATAACAGACATATGATTTACATTATCTGTTAATGTCAGAACTGATGTTGCTACTATTTCATTTACTGGTGTACGTAAATCAATGACTTCAGAGTCATCATTAGCATCATCTATATCCATAACTTTAATTTCATTTTGTTTGTCTTCTTCTCGTTCTATAATGAGACAAAGAAGTTATTCTAAATTTTGAAATCTTATCTAGATTAGCAACTTACGCGGAACAGGTATATTATTGTTTATCTTTTTATTCCGCTCTATATCGGCAGCAAAAGAAGTCAACAGATTGATCTTTTTTCCATCTCGACGATGATCATGTCGTTGTTTAAACAACGAATAGAAAAACAAACGGATCTATATAACTAAGATATAAACCAATTTGCTGGACTCAACTTTTGCTTTTCAGCAATCAATATACTAAGTCAATTATAACTATTGAAATTGAATATGTTGTTGTTGTTGTTGAAAATATATATATATATAATTAAATAAGTAAATGCAGAGTTTATCTTTGCCGACGCGTTTCATGTTATTTATTTAAAAATAATAGAACACTCTTCAGGGCTCTGCATAAAGATATATATAATAATAGAGAAAAATAGTAACAACACATGAAAAAGGAGAAGTGAAAAATAAACGAGTTAACAAGTATAAATGAGAAGTAAGATAGTTTAACGAGAAAATAAACGAGTCTTGTATATAAATGAAAAACAAGTTGATAATTCACCTTGTAAGTAATCGAAATGTATATAGTAAATGTTTAGTAATGGAGCCACTTGATAATAGAAGAATAATGATTATATTATACTATGTGTGGCGAGTATGTACCAATTGTCTTTGTAAATTATTTACATTACGAGTGCCAAGTATTGGAGTTACTTCATTGATTGGAGACTGTTCAAAATATTTATTCCAAAGTGTATGGAAATGTCGTGGAAAAGTTGTCATATTTTGACAGTAAGTAAAATGGACAAATAATGTCTTTTGATAATTAATTGCCGCTTTTGCTTCATGAGGAGTATCAACAACTTGTTGTCGTAGTGTATTATAGTTGTACATGTTTAATAGTTCATGAATATTGAATTTATCAAGAAGACGAGTGAAGTGTTTATCGATAAATTTAACCGGATATTTATTAACTAATAGATCCATTCTTAATTTACCACGTTCGTCAAAATAATCTTCAAAGCTTGAACAATACCGAATTGCACGTAGTAACATTGTGAATGGTATGTTTGCCTTCATATGTAGTGGATGAATGCTGTTGAATGGTAAATAATAAGGTTGATATGATGGCTTGTGATATACTTTAGTGATTAATTGACCTTTTTGGTTTTCAATATGAAGATCGAGGAAGTTAATACAATTGCTAATATTATCAGACAATTGTATATTTTCATCAAAAGTATTCCATCGATTGATTTCTTTCTTCAAGTGACGATTAGGCCAATTAATTAATATAATTATATCGTCGATATAACGAAAGTATAATCCATAGCTATTATTAATTTGTCTGATGATGGATTGTTCGAAGAAGAACATATAACAATTAGCAATGGTAAGTGTAAGTGGAGAGCCCATTGCTCCTCCACGAATTTGATGATAATAATCATTTTTGTATTTAAAATAATTATTTTGCATCACAAATTTTGCTAATCGTATAATGGTTTCTTTAGTTAATCCATCAACTTGTTTTAATTGTAGATGATCTATCATTTTTTCTAATGCCAAAACTCCTTCCATTTGTGGTATCATTGTGTAGAGATCAACAACATCGATGGTACATAAACTTGTTCCTTGACGTAAGTTTATTGATGTCCATTTTTGTAGATGTTTGATCAATTCGAAACCACAAGTAATAGTTGATTTGGAAGCCATTTGATTGAATAATGGTCTTAATAGATCATCTAAATATTTGGAAATTTTAGTTGTAGGATGTTTCCTGCCAGACATAATTGGACGAAGTGGAGTTAACGGTTTATGAGCCTTTGGCAGATAATAAAGATGTGCTAATTCAATATCATCTGTTTGTTTAAGGCACAATTGCTCATATTGCTTTGGTGTAATCCATTTCTTAAGGCGTAAATCAAGTAAATATTTATTGGTGTGCTTGATTAATTCTGGTAATGGATCAATTTGGCCAATACAATCATAAGCTTTTGTTCGCTCCATATAGTCTTTGGATTGCTTTTCATAATGTTCGACAGTTCCCAAATGAAAGACTTTGGATTTATCAGTTTTACGAAGAATTGTATTTGTTAAACGAAATTTATGTTGAAGTCGTTTAATTGTACGACGATAATTTATCGTTTTCTTCGGTTTAAAATGATTTGAATCTAAATTTGTATTTGTATTTGTATTTGAAGTAGAAGAATGTAAATTTTGAAGTATCAAATCTAACTCTGAAATAAATTATACAACTGGCTGACCTGGATTAACTCCATGTTTATGAAAACAAGCTTCAGTTTTTCTTTGAAGTTTAGTTAATTCCTTGGTTCATCGTTTTGCAGCTGTCGTTGGATCATTGAAGATGAATTAAGGACCTAATCGTAATATATATTGTTCGTCTTCAGTTAGATTGATTGTATTGGATGCTTGATTAATTATATTTGCACCGATACTTCGGCTCCTAAAGAACGAACATGATTCGAGATTATTTCTTCTACGACCTCTTGTTGTGGTAGCAGATTGTTGTTGTTCTCGACTCGCTGTTCCTCTAAAAAATGAAGATCTTGATCAAGTAATAATTCATAACGTTTTTCACGTAATTCATGATAACGTTTGAATGTTTCCAAGCTTATTTAATTAGAATCGTTTGCTGGAAAACCTTGAATCAACTGTGTAATTTCATTTTTTAATAATTCGGTATCATATCTACCTTGCATTTCATGTCTATCAAGAATAGATTCATGAAATTTAAATTGAAAATTTGTTTTTGCAATAAGTTTTGGAAATATATTCATTTGTAAACGTTTTGTTGTAGTATGATAATTTTTCTTCATTATACGCTATAATTTTATCTTTGATTGTAATGGAGTTTTTATATTCGTCCTTTTCTATTTTTACTATTTCAAGACGAATTGCAGACATTTTCTTGATACGTTGAATGTTTTCTTTAATATAATCGGTTAATAATTTTTCAATGTTTTTAATTCTGGTACGATTCGAGACATTTTTATTACTATTGGTAGTAGTATTAATCGATGCCACCGCTGCTGCTACTGCTGCTGATGCAGTTGGTATTTGTAACCAATAGGTAGCTAAATGTATTTGTATGTCATTGATTTTCGTACAAGCTTGATCAATTTTCTTTTCTATGAAAGGTAAATTGACATGTTCATTACGTTTTTTTGTACGATCAACTACTTCTTTAGCCCAATGTTTATGTTCAGTAGCTAATTTGTAGTAACTTTTCCATACTTGTAATTCATAATCTACTCGAATCCGTCCATCATAGACTGGAGTAGCTTTTATAACAAAACTATGATTGCCACTACCTTTTATAATCTCTTATATTTCTGGATTATTGCTAAACCATTGGGTAATTTAATTCATATTTAAATATGATCATTTATTTGTTTTAGTATCATTATTTATATTGTTCTTCTTCTTGTTATTATTATTAATAGGTAATGATTCCATATCATCGTAAGTTAAAGCAGCATATCGATTAGTGATCACAACATTATTTTGATTTTGATTTTGTTGCTGACGATTTCGACTATTTTTACGTCTAAATGCTGCTGTTGTTTGACGTTGGTTTCTTGGTTGTCGCTGTTGATAATTATTGTTATTATCACGATTATAATTACGATAACCATTATTATTATTATATCATCGTAGTCGTTGCGATGATCCATAATATGGATAATTCCAATAACGATAAGGGGGAAATGATAATGGAAGCAAATAATTAGGATTATTAAATTCATAATTTGATATTGATGGATTTGGATAATTACCTCCATAAAACGGTCGGTTTAGATAAATATTATTATTATAAGGATTGTTGCCTCCATAAAATATATAGAAAAAGACAAGAAATTCAAATCAGCACATGACGCGATCTTTTTTACCTAGTACTTTACTATATCGTTGTTTGATTTCTTCAGTGTGATATTTTGGTTTTGAATCACGTTGTTATCATTGATTGATAGCTGATATTATTGTGTAACATTAATTGTATGGTTGCTATTATGGACTAATGATTATTTCTTAAAATATCTACAATATTGAAGGAAAAAAATGAGAATAAATTTCAAATAACTTATAATAGTTTATTTTTGCAGTATGAGTTGATGGTCATTGTATTTATGCAAAATTTGATCAATAGGTGGAAATGTATTTATTATGAGTGAACGTTATGTTCATGAAATCTTCTTTTTCATTCTTGTTTGTTGCATGATTCGGTAATTCTTAACATATGGCGTGGAGGTTTCTTGTGAATGAAGTAATCTGCTAGTGTACGATTGGTTTTTGGTATTGGTCAAAGTTTGATATTTTTCATTTTATATCCTGGATAAAGATAATCTTTTTCCCACCATGAGTAAAATTCATTAGAGAATGTAGCACGAGGTCCCGCTTCATACGCATATCGTAAATACATCATTGATCGATTCCAAGGCTTCTTTTCTAATATTGCTGGATTTGTTACAGGATCTTTCATTCCATTATGTAATATCTGTTCTTCGTCTGTTATTCGATTTAGTAATTGTTGATGTAATCGTTGATAAACTTGCTGGTTAAGTTCTATAAATACAGGCATGGCATTATTGACTTGAAAAAATCGAAGAAATTGATTAGAAATAAATTTTGGTGGATATTAGCTGAGTAATAGTGACATATCAATGTGAAGACGTTCTGAATTAAAATCATATATGTTTGAACATAAACGTTCAGCACATATTAATTCAGTATATAGTATATTACGATGATATTTATGTAAATAATCTGATGTATATGTTAAATAATATGGTTGAGCTGTTGGTTTATGATAAACACATGTTCTCAAATAACCATTTTCATTTGCAATGGTGACATCAAGATAATTAACTGTCACATCAATTATAGATTCAATTTCTATATTGATATCTTTCTTTTTAGATTTTTCTAATACAATTCGAATTTTATCTAATGATTGATTTGTTGTCATAAATATATCGTCGATATATCTATACAAGTAGAAGAAATGAGTATAGTTGTAAAAAGTATTGTTATTTCATCTAACGAACCTGCCATAAATTTATCCATGCTTTACTTGCTTATGGTACTATTATGACGTATAAGAAAAAATCAATTAGATGAGACTATCGAAAAAATCGATTTTTTTTTGCTGACAACCCTTCAAAAAAAATAAAATACACTGTACTAGTCGCCCTATCGAACTTTATTTAACCACGAATACAAAAAAACGACAAAAAAATTCAGTATAATATCATCCACGTTTTATTCATTCCAGTATTATATGTATCGTATAAAGTATTTTATTTATTTCCACGTGCCTGTTCACTGCACGATACACTAGTAGAGGTGAGTATACGATAAAAGTTACTAGCTATTCTCTGGTTATATGTTCATGCTTCAATGATTTCCTTTTTCTTTACCGTGTAAAATGTATGTGTATATAGTGAGTGACTCTTATTATACATCATATACGATTTTGACGAATTAAAATATGAAGTAACGTGACGCTGTATCTTCATTAATAACATGGGACATCCATATTAATATTCAAGTGAGTTTATGAAAGAAGACATCAATCGATGCCAGCAGAATAGCAGAAAAATAGTAAAAATAAACTGTACCTTTTTTTAAAGGGATGCCTCGATCTCTAGAACATGATATCATTCATCCTTTTGTTGTAATAGCGGATAGTCGCATTTAGCTGCTATCTATTTTTCTTTCCTGTCTAACAAGGGTATAGTTTTTGTTACTATACTAAGTGACGTGACTCATCATCATTAATTCCATTTATTACTGATGATGAGCAATAGTGGCATTATGCCTCATAAAACGAATATGATACATATCAATCAAATAGAAGAGAATTCGGTTTCCGCAACTACACCAACAACAGAACAACATACATCTACAAAACAAAATAGAATCAAAAGAACAAAAGAAGGTGATGATTCATTTGAACATGAACATCGTGTGGTTAATACACGTAACCAATACTTTAATAGCGCTGGCTCTCGGTCAATACAACAACAACAGCTAAATCTAACGACATCTCGTACTGGAGTAAGCCACGGAGACTCGACAACCACACGTTCAACGTTTCCGCCTTTTCGGATTACCTTTGTAGCTGATAGTACACCATCGGAATTATCAATCATCAAAGATATTAACAAACATTGTCGTATTGGACTTTCATATGGTCGTTACTCATCTACTGGTAGTAATAAATGTTTTCTTCTATATGCCAATAGTAGTGAACAATTTGATCGTTTGATGGACAAAACAACATGGCCAATTCAGATATGTTCTTTAGATTATGAAATTACTTCCCCATCAAAAGTACCAACATCTTATTCAATTGTAGATATTGGTGTTCCTGCTCAATGGAAATTAGAACAATTTGAATCCGACATCAAAAAACAATATCCAACAATCATCAAAGTTGAACGACTTTATGTTAAAGATCGTATACCAATCTCTAAAGTTAGAATTGATTTCTTTTCCAATCAAGAAGTAAAGAAAATCATTCTAAACAAACGCTTACTCTTAGATGATGAAAACACTTCATTCGTGATCCAACCATATTCACCACCAGCAAAAGTACTACGCTGTTTTAATTGTCAACAATACAATGATCATATTACCGCAAATTGTCTACTTAAAGACAAGCCAAAATGTTTTCGTTGTGGTTCAAACCATCCATTTAATCCTAGCTGTAATAATAAAATTTGTTGTGCAAACTGTGGTCAAAACCATATGGCTGGTAGTCCAAGCTGTCCAGTTAAAGTAGAAGAACGAAGTAAATATCAACAGCTCTCAAAAACCATACCAACCATCAACAACAACAATAACAAAGTATTATATGTTAAATCGACTGATGCTCCTAGTGCATGGGCAACAAACGCTCAAAAAGAACATGCACAAGCTCAATTATATACTCCAATTCAAAATGTAGCACCAAATGAATATCCAGATGCATTATCCGATATCAATAAAAAATTGGACCAAATTATGAGTAAAATGGAACAAATTACAAGTGAACAAACAAATATGAATGCGAACACTACCAAGGCTTTTCGATTAATTAATACATGGCAAAAGGATTTTGCCACACTCAAGGAATTTATCCTAGAAAAAGTATCTCCTTATATTTTTAATTTAAGTGATGTATTTTTAGGTAAAACCAAGCAAAATGAACAAGAAAAATTACGCACCTTATACATGGAATTCAAGCAACAATATAATGAAGTAGTCAAATCAAATGAAATAAAACAAAATGAAAAATATACTCTATCAAGATCGACCTCAAATGAATCCATCAACAGCGATATTTAAAACAAAACAAAAGAAACCATATCTTACCAATGTTGATCAACTTACAAAACATGAGGAAAAAACTTTTAAAATGATTTTGGAAGAATGGACGAATACTCTAACACTTAATCTTTTATTAGAAAATTGGTCAAACTATCGCGTTAAAACTTTATCAATGTTACATAGTAAAGACAATATCTCAATTCTATTGGTAAATGTTTCCAGCTTAAATCGTTATATGGCGGAAATATTCAACCTTATTGATTCTACTTCACCACCGATTATTACAATAAATGGAACACATCATGACGAAGAATCGATTAAGAAATTTACCAAACACTTCTTTAATTTTAATGTCTTCTCGATCAAAGGTACAAATCTATTTGGAGGTGTCTTAGTTGCTGTACATAAATCAATTCATACTCAACGAATAGTTGGATCTGACAACATACCGAATTTGATTGCATTGGAAATAGGTGTGGACAACAATAAATTTCAATTAATCACATGTTACTCACCACCACATGAAACAATTCCTTTCAAGATATTTGAACAAATACTACGAATCAATGAAGATACAATCACCACCGGAGATTTCAACGCAAAACATAATTCTTGGTCTCGCACGATAGAAAATCCAAAAGGAAAAACTTTATTTAATTGATTGTCTACATTACAAACGCGTTCAACAATGGATATCATTAATAAATTTATTCCAACGTCAACTCGCTCCAACGCAACGATTGATCTAATTATTGTACCGTCGCATATGTCATCTAATTCATTTTAAGTATTACCGTCTATTGGTAATGATCACCATCCAGTTATTTGGTACTCCACAATTAAAATATCTACTGCACATCAAAGGTATCCAATCAAACGAACTCATTGGAAATTATTTGAAGTATTTCTTACTTTTACTGGTAGTTATTGGAACAAACTTGCAGAAGATATGACTCATTCAGCTGATTTCTTCACACTTTATGAAAGGTTTTTATGGCTATGTCTAGCACGTTTCACCAATGTTACATTCAAGAAGATTTTTAAACCATCATTACCATAACATGTAGTAAATTTAATTAATGAAAAACATTTATATTTGAAATTGTTTCGACGAACTTATCATCCCTATTATGCAATGATGTTAAGAGATACAACGAAACTAGTACAAAAAACACTTTTTAATATAAAAGAAAGTTATGGCTTGATTATTGTGGATCGTTCAATGATTGTGATACGAAATCTTTCTGGCAAAAAGCAAAACGACATTTCCACTCAAAATCTTCACCAGTTGAAAGTTTCATTATTAACAACAACACTATTACTACACCAGAAGAAATGTGTGCTATTGCAAAAGATTACTATGAAGAACAATTTACCGATCATCAATCTACACATACAGATACTGATATTGAAACAAGCATAAACTTGATAGAACTAGATGAAATCTTGATAAACAAGCCTTCTAATCCAATGAATATCAATTACCAGCAACTAAATAGAATTATCGCATCAATGAAAAATAAAAATTCGTCAGGTGTAGATGGAATTTCTAATAGAATCATCAAGTTGCTTCCACCGAATCATTTATCTATAGTTCTTATATGTATGAATAAGTTTGCTACCAGTTTGCAGACACCCTCGCATTGGCACATTGCAAAAATGATATTATTATCCAAAACAAAATCTAAGACAACAACTATTGATAAAACAAGACCGATTTCTTTACTTGCGTGCTTTTCCAAGCTATTTGAAAAATGTTTTCTGATCCACTTTCGCAAATGGATAGATGATTTTGCAATACTTCCACCAGAACAAACTGGATTTAGGCCAAAACACAACATGTCTGTACGTTTAGTATCTATGATAGATCAAATTGGACAAAGCCTATCAATGAATACAGCTGCAGCTGCACTCTTCGTAGACTTTAGTTCTGCGTTTAATCAATTATGGTTTAATGGCTTATGGCTAAAACTTAACAAGTTAAATTGTCCATTATATATAATAGCTTGGCTGAAACATTACTTATGTGGTAGAAAAGCCTACATTGATATAAAAAGTACAATTTCATCCACGTTCGAACTCTCAAAAGGTGTACCACAAGGAAGTTGCATCGATCCGGTGCTATTCATTGTCTACCATCATGATTTACTCGAATCTCTGTCGACTATCCATTGGAAGCACTTGTTTGCGGACGATTTGGCAGTATCGATTGCACCATCAGCAGCGCTATCACCAAAGAAGATTATCAAATCACTTAAGAAACAACTAGTACAAATACTAAAACGTTTGATAAAATATTCTACCCAATGGAAACAACCAATTAATTATGACAAGACGTACTGGACACTATTTAATCGTCAAGGAAATCCTAAAATACCTACAATAAAATGCAAAGGACACAAGATTGAACATTTGAATCAAATTAAGTACCTTGGAACAATTCTTGATGCTAAGCTATCTTTCACAGTGCATCTTGATTACATCAAATCAAAAATATAATTAAATACAAATGTTTTCAAAAGACTTGCAACCAGTCGAATGATGAGCGAAAGAGTCAATTATTGTCTCTACAATGCATTCATCCGACCACATCTACTATCTATCCTGAACATTTATCCACTACTAGCAAAAGATAAAAAGAAACAACTTGAAGGATCACATAGACAAATGTTTAGAATTATACATAATTGGTATGATGCTAGAAATATTGAGATAGAACATTTACCAAAATATCGAACAACTGAAGAACTATCTCGCATTCATTGGAACAAACTATCTTGTACAATACTAGAAAGAAATCCAAGCGTTATCGAAGATTTTTTGCAACACAAATTGTCGATCATTTTCCTCAATGAATATTTGACAAATCCATCTTTGATAGAACAAAGAAGAGAAATTCTCGACCGAGGAAGAATTCAAAAAATTTAACAAATAGAATAAAACAAAAGCGACAATCATTATTTGATCATGTACTGTGTTTCACACAAAATTAATTTGTCTTTATCTTTCCTTCTTTCTTGCTCTCTATTCTATCTATCTTTTCAAACTATTCTTTCAACATTATTTTAAAGTGATATTTTATTTCAAACCTAGTTCATCATGTCGTATATACTTGTTAAAAATGGTTTTTTTTGTTCACATCGGCTACAGGAGTGAAGCTCGCTCATAGCCTTGAAATAAAGCTTTAATATATATATAGAACATGATATGAAAAATGTCAATTTTCCTTACTAAGAGATTAACTGACTCCTAATTGTTTGCATCAATCATGACCAGTTTTTTTGCTCTATCTGAAACTGTGATCGAAATTTCGGAGCTAAAAAGGAAATACTAAAGAATTTACACCCTGGTGCACTGAGCAGCCGACTCGAGTATTTCCACCGGCGATTCTCTTAGCAACTGGTTCCGATGATTTTAGGCAGGTTCTAAATAGAACTTGATGAGCTTTATACAATAGTGCAATCGGATTTTTCATAGCTCCAACTGAACTCAAAAGAAGCTCAAAATACTGCGATTTTTAGGTGAAATCTCCGCAGCCGATTCCAGTATGTCCGCTGGCGATTCATCTATGAGCCTGTTCCAGTGGTTCTACTGCTTGTTCCAAGCACAACTCAACGAGTTCTATCGAATAGTGTGCTTAGATTTTTCGTAACTCAAAATAAAAATTTTTAGCTTAAAGATCGCGCCACGAAGATCGAAAAGTTTTTATTTAGAGCTACGAAAAATCTAAGCACACCATTCGATAGAGCTCGTTCAGTTGTATTTTGAACAAGCATTGAAGCTTCTGGAATAGGTTTCTAGACGAATCACCGATGGAAATACTCGAATCGGCTGCTTATTTCACTTACGTAGAATCTACCTGAAAGTCGAATTTTTCAACTTTTTTTGATCAATTCTAAAAGATTTTCAGACGTATACGTTCATATAGATTATATCTGTCAATAGATCTGGAAAGAGCATTCAGAACTGAACACAGGTGGCTTAAGAACTTATTGTTCATCCGGTAACTCGTATGACTAAGTATATCGTGATTTTGAGTCAGTAATTCGATGAATTGATTTACACGGTATAAAGCACCAATCCTAGTTTTACGCAACTGTAAGCATTGAATGGATTTTAATACCAACTGTATTCAATTTTGACTGCTCTTTCAGACGCTATGCTCAAAGTTTGTAGAATAAAAAATAAGAGTGATATAATAGCCTGTAACTGTCTAAAAAATTGAAAAATTCAACTTTCAAGTCAATTTTTAGTATTTAGCTTTTATTTTATAAATTTCGATCACAGCTTCAGATACACTGAAAAAAATAATAGTATAGTACAAAAGTCTTGTCTTTTCTTCAACACTGTATAAACCTTCGAAGGGTTTATAGACGTCACATATACGAAAAGACCGTTGATATAATCGTGGGTTTTTGAAGTAGACCATTCTTGAGATTTTAAAGGGTTTTTGTTCATCATATCTGTAGACCAACGTTCTTTCAGATACGATATGAGGTAGAATGATCCACGGTTTTCAAGAATTCGTTTTCCCAAATACGACCCAAGGAATAATGCTGCACGGCTCCATCAACAAGGTTTTGTCAAAGACTATTGATGGTATGGTAATCCACAGTTTCATCAAAAGGGTTTTGCAAACACAATCAAATGTATAGTATTACACGGCTGCATCGAAAAGGTTTTTGCAAATATGATTGAGAAATCAACGATTTACGGCTGTAGCCAGAGATGTTACTTTATCTTTTCTTTATGAATAAGGATAAAGTAAATAATTATCTTTATTTTATTAAGAATGCAGATAATCTATATTTCAAAAATAAGAATGAAAAAATAAAGTAAATATTTATATTTATAAAATAAAAATAATTAAAAATTTGCTTTATTTCAAAAAAATGAAGTTGAAATAAAGAATAAAGAAATTTTTTTCTTAAGTATCTATAATTTTATCTTTTTCAAATAAGTCGTGAACTATTATAAGAACATAGGCTAAAAAAGATTCTAAAGAGAAGCTTTTTCTATAAATCTTTTATGCTTCACATTCACTTGCTAGCATTATTTCATATTTGAATGTGCCTGGTGGTAGGCAAAAACTACGATTAATATTATTTGTTTTTATATTAACTATTTATCTGTTTGCTGATTACTTGAAAATATTTGATTTATTTTGTATTTCATCTTTATTTTTAAAATAAAGATTATCCATATTCTTTATAGAATAAAAATAAAGATTTTTATAATTTTATTCTTTAGTATAAATAAAAAGAAAAAGAAAAATAAAGTAACACTCTCAGTTTTGACGAGAAGGTTTTTTGATATAAAATTGATAAGAGAATAATTTAAGATATTCGATTAAATTTATTATTCATCAAAAAAAAAAGGATTGAGAAACTACGTAGTATATACAAAAAACGATATTTTGTCGTTGGTATAATTTTTATATATTTGATAATAACACATAAACATTGGCCACATTAAGTTTTCAAGAATGTTCACATTTTTACAAGGCGAATGGCTTTTGCTGTGAAAAAAAATACAGTTGATATTTTGTAAATTATATTTCTCGTATACTGAAAATGTTAATTATTTATATAGATTAAGAGCACCATCTGTTGTATAAAATTATGAATAGAAGAATGTCGTCATACCTATATATTCGAATACGACGGTATTATGCATTGGTAGAAAAGAAAGAAGTGAGGATAATACATTTATATCGATGAATATGGCTGTGTGTGAATAAAAGGTGGCAATTATTTTTTATCTAATTGAATAAAAGAATTAAGGCACTTTTTATACAAAAGTAGCTACAAAAATTATATCTTATTCAGTGTGAGTCGATGCTATATTGAAAAATAGAAATCTTAGTCAGTGCAAACATTTCTCAGGTGATCTTGTGTAGATTAGTACATTTGTATACATCTATATCAAACATCTAACTTCGAATATACGTTTCTTTTTTTTTGTATCTATTTGAATATTTTTTTTAGATTGTTATTCTTCTTATCAATATGAATTGAACATGTGAACAAGTGATTAAATGGTGCAAATCTTTTATGAATGATGATGGTATTATACCACTTTTTGAAGGTCAGTGAATTTGTTTTCTCTTTATGTGTGAATAAAACGAACATTCGCAGTATATTTAGCATAAGAAAAAATAATTGTTCTGATTTATTTAATTTTTAAGTACAAATAAAAAGTCAATGGAAAAATACGTTAAGTCGCTTCTATACGAACTTTCTTTTCTATTCTTCGCCTTTTTTTGTCTATTTCAGCCGATTTTATTCATATACAATAAAATATCGTAGTAAAGAAATAATTTCGATTTTTGTTATCGTTATTATGTGTCGATGCCTATAGATTAAACGGTCGGTTGTTGTTGATATTTTACGTCGAAACGAAAAACACCGTATATCTAATATATATATATAGAACGATTTGGTTGAAGTATTTTTTTTCATTTCAATCTATCATGTCACTATTTGTTTGCCCTCTTTGCTTCAACGATCGTAAATTCAAAACATTTTTGAAGTTTTTTCGACATATTACTCTTTTTCATTAAAGTGAATCTAAATTTCAAATTACATGTAATTTGAGTTTATCCTGTGGAGTTTCTTATAATACGTATGCAGGATACAAATCTCATATTTATCGTAATCATTTCGATCAATTACGTGTATTGAATGATAAGATTGATGTTGTTGAACCGGCTTATGTTAATAATATTTTACCATTTGGTCCAATCAATGATACTAATGATTTTAACACAACGAATGACGAAGAGGATCACATTGGTCCAATTAATTTACTTGACTCAATTTTCAATCAAAATGACGATTCTATATCTATATTGGATATTAAAAAATCATTTGCACTCTTCATGTTGCAATTGCGTGAAGAATATCTTGTACAGAAAACTACCATTAATTCCATTTCAACTTATATTGTTACATTACTGCATCATTTACAGTCTCTGTTTGAACAACAAATTATGCGTAATGATTTTAATGCTACTGGAAATAATTTGTCATCAAAACCAACATCTGGTTCAACAAAAGCATATCTTGATATTGATACTGCTAAGAAAACAATTAATGAATTATGTTATGCAGTGGAAACTGTTAGTCGCAATGAATACCAGTTCCAACAATTTTGTGAAGAACATTTTTTTTATCGTCCACCTAAAGAAATTACTTTATCAAATCCTGGTGAAACAAAACAAGTTACTTATTACGTTCCAATTGATGAAACAATCAAATCAATTCTACATAATGATCATGTTATTGATCAAATTCTTGACAATATAAAATATCAACAAGAAAAAGTTTTTATTGACGAAGATCTTATGTTTTCGTTCTGCCATGGACATTTTGGAAATCGAATTGATGATAATAGTTTATTAATTCAATTATATATAGACGATATTGGACTAACTAATCCAATTGACTGTAAAAAAGACAACCACAAAATGTGTATGGTTTATTTTTCCCTGGAGAATATTCCAAATGAACATTGCTCTCAATTAGAACATATTCATCTTGTTGGAATTTGTACAAGTGGAATACTTAAGGTAAAATTTCTCCAATGATAAAATGGTTAATTATTTTTATGGACTGCATATTGCACATGATTTTGTACTCATCGTAAAGCTTGTATATAAACATATACAATTATTTAACAAACTATTTTCATTATATTAAAAACAGTTTAAATCTCTTTTATTTTGATGTGTTATTGTTGTCCATATTTTTCTCTGTCGATATTGGTCGAAATTCTGATTATGTTGTTTGATTTGAATATTATTCTATTGTGAATTGCTTTCTTAAGGATGATATAAAAGCAAAACGCTTTTTCGATCCAATAATTGAAAATCTCAATTATTTACAACAACATGGGCTGGTAATCAATGGTCGTTCAATCATGTTTTCTTTTTCCACCATGGTGGCGGATAACTTAGGAGCGCATCAAATTGGACGGTTTCAATCTTCGTTCAGTAGTGGACATATTTGCCGGCGCTGTTTTATCAATCATTCTGATTTGCATTTACCGATGACACAGGCAAGACCAGATATTAGAACTAGTACTTACCATGATGCTTTAATTATTCAAATCAATTCAAATTTTAATAAATCTCCCATTATGGGAGTAGTAGGACAAAGTCCTATTTATAATCTTGATGGCTTTCATCCAATCATGTCTTTGCCAGCAGATTTGATGCACGATTATCTGGAAGGAATCTGTCCTCGTGTTATGATGGGTTTACTCAAAGAAGCCTCATCTATGCGACTTCTTACTTATTGTAAGTCTCTGATCTCTTTTGTTAATAGATGTTGAAGAGTAAATAGGAAAATTTTTCCCACATGCTTGTTATTATATACTTAGAACGAAAAATTAAATGACTATATTCGATATTAAATAGAATTTAATTTACTTAATTAGAAATTGAAATCATATATTTGTAAATATAAATAGATATTGATAATCACTATTTACGATTATTATATTTCTTCGAGTATCCTCATGAAATAAAAAGAAAAAATTCTTTCGATAATATATGTTAGTACTCCGAGAAAAGTCTTCGAATCTTTTTTTTAAGAAAAATAAAATTGACTAACATACAGAATCTTAGTTGATCTTTTATCAAAATGATCAAACAAGAGATTACTATGCAATTATTCTATATGATCTCTTTTAACATGCTATATAATAGAATTCATTTACTTAAATATATTCTTTGTATAAGTATTTATTCATTTGTCAATTTTTATCACTATAAGTACCGAGTCAATATAATGCTCCCGTTTAATCTGTTTGTACATTTTTCAAGCTCATGAAAGATACAAAATGATTATAGTTCTGTTTGAGAATTTTATTAAATGAAGTCAAATAAAAAATTGAGAGAAAAAATATATACATTCGAATTATTGAAATCAATTCGAACCAATATTTCTCCTTAATTAACGGTATTCAAATAAAATAGTTATGTTTATTCATTCGTTGCTATTTAGTGTTAAATTTCTTAAAAAGTGTTTTATTTTCTTTTTTGTGTTATATTGAAGCGAAAATTCAAGAGCGTATGGAACAATTTATCTATGGTCATTTTGATTCACGTGATAAACCACCTGCAATTCTTATTAAACATCTTCAAAAAAACAAAATTACTGCAAGTGCATCGCAAAAGTTGTGCCTATTCAAGTTGTTTCCTATAATATTTTTCGATGTGGTAGATAAACTACTATCTTTCATTGTTTATAAACAACTGAGAGAAATAGTTGATCTAGTTCTTTCGGTTCCATTCAGAGGGCAGTGTCTACGAATACTTCGTGATTTATCACATGCTTTTCATCTTTCAATGATACAACATTTGCCACGACAAATTGTACCCAAAGTTCATTATTGCACGGAATATGATCAAGTAATTAGTGACTATGGTCCTGCAATCAAACAATGGTCAATGCGTTATGAATCATACCACTTTTACTTCAAAACAATAGCACTTAGAACCAATAATTATAAAAATTTGCAAAAAACTTTGGCTACTCGTTATCGATTAAAACAAGCATTTTCATCATTTAAGATGACTCAACTTAATCATAATGATCAAGCTATTAAAATACAAAAAATTAAAAATAATATTTTTAATAATGAAATGAAATGTGCCATAATCAGTCACTTTGGTAATATTGACATATCAAAGGATCTGCTTCAGTGTCATAAATTTCGTTATGATTGTGCCGATAGGCACGATTTCTATACAATTCTTAATTCTTCAAAGATATTATCCTTGTGCGATATAATAATCGTCATTAAAGGAGTATCGCGTTCATTTTATATTGTAATATCTTTCTTATCTCTTTGTGTTATAACCTCGATCGTATATGTGCATATAATATTCTCTTTTGTTCTCTTCTCTTCTCAAGCGTAGCGAGCAACGTATTATATCCCATATATATGTATGTGTAAAAGAAAAGAATAGGTAGATTTGGAAGAATGAAGTAGTGTGTGTAACATCGTTTATATACCGAAGATAGCGGTAACGCTACTCTTCCAATTTCTCCTTGTGATCACAAATAAAATAAAGTCTGCAGCACAAGTAACGAATTATTCTATCTATATTATTATCAACTCCATTTTCGTTACAATGATAATATTGAATATTGTCGTTCTAGTAATTATATAATATCTCTAATGAATTTAAATGAAATACCACAATTTGTTCAAGTAGTAAATATTATTAAACTTACGCACAAATGGTGGCTATTAGTCGATATATTGGCAACCATTGGTTACGATGATAAACTATTTGCATGGGAAATTAAATCTATGGATAAATTTGATATATTAGATCCATACTCGATGAAATATTATTTTAAAGGACTTGACATTTATGAGATTAATAATTCAACTTTTGTTACATTTACAGCTCGTTTGACTTTACATTAAATTATTTAAAATGATAAGAAATTTTTCGATATCATTCTTTTTTTAACTTTCTTCTTTTACAAAGTTTCCTCTATGTATTTAATTTAAATTTTATCACGAACTCTTCGATTTTTAAACATATAAAAGATATCTTTTTAATTTTACAAAATGAAATTGATGGTGAAACTCTTGAAATGATGGACAGTGTAGATAAAGTGGCGAAGTTAATTCCAAAGCTTAAGTATCAACTATTATTTTTAAGAGAACGTGAAAAACTGTTCAATTCAAATAATAATGAATCTCTCTCAAATAATGATTCATCATCAGTTATTTCAACAGATCTTAATTTTTCTTCGTTATCTTCATCGTCAGATAATATTTCTATGAATACTACATCAAATATAGATATTCATGATCAAACATTAGATGAAGTGTCGGTGAAAGAAAACATCAATTCGATATTTCCAGCTGAATATATTATTCCACAATTACCACCATCTTTATTACAAGATATTGAAGCAGGTGCACTTCATAAATTTGGTCCACATCATGCTAATCGTCAAGTTCTTATTGATGCAATAACTTATGATTTAATTAATACATAAAATTTATTGTAAGTAATATAAATATTTATACTGTTCATATAGATATATTGTATATGTTGATATTTATATCAACTATGGTATTATCCATTATCGTACATTTTGATTATTTATTCTTTTCAGCATATTGAAATTTAGACTATCATAATCAACATATTTATTATAAAATTTATTGTTCATTAATATTTTGTCAGTATTACTTCAATAAAATGTTTATACGAGTCCATATGTTGCTTGCGATATATTTTCTTTAAATAACAAACATCATTAGTTATTTCTATTTGAGTCCTATAATTTGATTTACATTAACTATAACATTAGCTATCTTGATAAATTCTTTAAATCGAAAAATAATGTAAGTCATTTGAAAAAAAAATCAAAAAGAAAATAAATTGCTATTTGTTTTAACGTAATAATTATTAATTGATATATTTCTTTTACATTTAGTTATCCTAGTCATAAACAATTCGATGCTATTGGATCAGTGATTGTTGGTTTATTAAAACTACCTTTTACCAAAGATAATTTAGTAAGTTTTTTTTCTTAATATCCTATTATGCCATGTATATTAATGTATTGTTGATGGACATGTATTGATATAAAATTTTCTCTTTGATGAAGCTTTGATACATTTGTTATCTCATAAATTGAATAAATATTGTGTTTTAAATGTTACTACTTAATAAAAAATACATCCGTCATAAATCTGATTTTTCTTGTTTAGGGAATATGAAAAGAAGCGGTACAAATAAAATTAAAAAGGAAGCGTTGTGAACATAAGGATAATGTAGAAGTACAATATCATCTTATGAAATATTCTAAAACAGGCTCCGGTCGTCCTGTCAAGCAAATGATTGGTGAGGTTGCAAGTCGTGACCGACAAAAACAAGTAGATATTTATCAAATAATATTTAAATTTCACTTTATTTGTTTTGTAGATTTTAACGATGAATTATGATGATGATTCATTTAATAGTATGAAGATAAAATCTCAAGAATTACGTGATAATAATCATATTGATCTTGATTCAAAACTTCGTCTATGGAAAGAAACACTTCATATTCGGCGAAAATTGATACGTGATCTGTCAACTTCAACAATTCTTGAAGAATTTCCTGGGTACAAAGATTCTTTCTTAGTGAGTAATTTTTATTAATTATTTATTCATAGGAAATAGACTTTTATCATTAACAGATTTTTGACGAAATACGATTGACTATGGAAGTTGATTTGCGTACTATTGTACGTTACCAAGTACCGGTCTTATTGGAGAAATTATTATCTTCACCTGCTTTCATCACAGGTAATAAAAAGAAGAAATAAAACTTGTATATAATGTTTGTTTACTTATAGTTCCTCCTCCAATTCAACTTATTCGAGTGTTATGTCGGCATTTTGGTGAAACAGTTCATCATATTTATTGTGATACAGTACGTATTATTATTCTTTTTTTATATGATCTTGATTCAATATGTTTTATAATTTCTATTGAACATAAACTTAATAGTTAGTCTATAGCTGGGATCAGTGCAGTTAGATCTAAATTAAAAGTTAGTTTAATACTTTCAAAAAATATTAGAGTATAATATTTTTTACGTAAGTTTTTCCTTTGACGACATGATCACATCTTATTGAGATTTTAAACAAGTCACTGTGATACTTCGAGCATATATTTTTATGAGTGAAGTGTCATATAATTATTAAGTGAATACAATGCTGTATAATTCTTTTCTCATGATCATCATTTCACTTTTGAAATGAATTCAACTTATTATTTCTTTGTGATTTCAGTTTAAATTAGTCAGTTTATATTGCCTTGCATATGATTACATTGCATATGCATTTGATAAATAATTTCTTCATGAGAACTACATATAAATAAAGTAATAATTTAGTAAGACAGATACATAGAAACGTTCCGGAATATTTCTTCTATATCATCGAAAAACTTATTCGTTTCATAAATAAATTCTTATTGGTTGTTCTTTATATCAAATTAAATAATTGTATTTTGATCACAAATTTTTCTTTTGATGAATCCATATAATACTATCGATCAATTTGGAAAATCGTTTCGCTTATATCAAGTTTAAGTATGTTCATTTATTTAGACACCATCAACTCCTTATCCTACATTAGTTCTGATGAACGATGTGATGCATATTTTTGTGGATTTTAATCCAGTTGTATCTTCGACTTCTCCTGATGATGGTTTAGCTCTTATTTTGGCAATGTATGCCGTACTCGAATTAAATTTTAATAAAAATAGTCGAACAATTCGATTATTATATGCAATTGTATTCGGTGATAAACGATTTATTTCAAACAGTATTCGTAATTTGGTAAAAGAAAAAAATATTGATATATCCTTCGAACAAAATCGAAAATTATCAAATATTACAAATACAATTACAGATAATTCAACAACAACAAAACATGCTAGTTCTCATTCTATGTCTCAAGATCAATATACTTCATCATCAATAGCTTCTTCAACAAATACAATTGTCAATGATTCAGTAGGTGATAATGACTCAATTGATATTAACACCGATTCTTATGAGTAAGTTTTTTCTCTTTTAAATTTAACTGTCTGAATTATTCCATTTTTTATTCAAAGTAATTCCGATAAAATAGTTGAACAATCATCATCATCATCATCTTCAAATGTTGTGGCTACTCAAAAGCATAAACGTGCAGCATCCACTGAAAAATCAAAAGATAAAGAAAATTGTATTCCATGTGATGACAGTAATGATGATGAACATGATGAAGAAGATATTATTTCTTCTGTTGGTTCCCGATCATCTTCATCTGTTCGACAACCACGACAAAAGAAACGACGTTATTAATAACTTTATTTTCAAAGCAGAACTCGTTGTTCTTCTATTTTTTTTAATATTATCACAGTAAAAGATATTTACTGATTTTGATTGTATTTTTCTTCAAAGTCAAAATAAGAATCGGATGGATAGCGCTGATTATTAATGTTCGTGATTTACCTGTTATTTGATCGTATATATTACTCAATACAAAACATTTTGATTATAATTGTATTATTTTCTGTAAAATGAAAGTTAATAATTCGTTCAATAGTTTTCGTTTTATAAAAAATAATTTAATTTTAATCAGAGTTTTGTATTGAATAATATATAAGATCAAATAATGATTAAATCACCAACATTAATAATCAAAACTATCAATCTGATTTTTATTTTGACTTTGTCGTAGAAAAATACGATTAAAGTTAGTCAATATCTTTTACTGAGCCGCACAAAGCAGAATGTTGTTGTTCTTTTTTTTATATTACTTTGTTCTCGCTTCTATTTCATTAAACAACTAGTGATCAAATATCATTATTAAATCCTCAAAATATATATTATAATAACATCTGAAAGCATTTAACATTCATAACTGTATTGAATAATATCGTTATTACTCTAATTAATATTTTAAAAACATTTGTTTAACGTTGATATTTTCAAAGTCAATCACTTAATGATCTTAACTAAACTGTCACTATATCAATCACTATCTTAAATCGAGCGATATTTATAAAATAGAAAATGTACATTTATTTATCTTAACCCTTTCCGGCCGGATGTTGCCAAATGGCAACATTTTGTCAATATCGTCTTGGGGTTTATTTTAAAGCGATGAGATATAGTTTATGAAGTGGTTTGATAATTAACTACATGCATTTCGGGACAATCCTATGCTTTTTCAAGAAACGAGAAAGCTATTGTTGAGGAGAGGGATGGATTTTCCCGCCAACATCCAATACAGCTCCAACGTCGAAATGACCTGTTTTTTATTTCTCCGAGCATTTGATACGAGAAGTTATTAGTGGTTAATTTTCCTCTTCAGACTCATTATGTATTATACCAATAATGTGAATTGTTCACTTTACTCGAAGAACAGAGTACAAGAATGTTGCCTTTTGGCAACATCGGGCCGTAAGGGTACAGAAAGTTGGGAAAAGTGAATTGTTTTTCCTCGATAGAAGTCCTATAATTTGTTGTTAGCTATAGTCCAGATTATCAAACAAAAGCATACTTTGTTCATCTATTCATCTCTTACAGTCTTAATGTGAGATATACTCCCATAATACTCAAAACCTGTCCAAAATAGTGCAAATTTTACCTATTTTTCCTAGAGAAGCGCACAAATTCAGCGAGACTCTAACAAGATTTACAGGATTTACAGCATATCATAGTATTCCTGTTCAGACTACTATAAAAAATTACTAATCTTGTTAAAACCTTACTAAATTCATGATATTCTCTAGGAAAAATAGGTAAAATTTGCACTATTTTGGACAGTTTTTGAGTATTATGGGAGTATATCTCACATTAAGGCTGTAAGAGATGAATAGATGAACAAAGTATGCTTTTGTTTGATAATCTGGACTATAGCTAACAACAAATTATAGGGCTTCTATCGAGGAAAAATAATTCACTTTTCCCAACTTTTTGTACCCTTACGGCCGGATGTTGCCAAAAGGCAACATGCTGATATTCGGCTTAGTATCAGTTTTTTAAACTCCAAGATGGAATTCGGTAACCTCCATATCTAAGAGACAAAGAATCTATAGAAGAAGAATTTTTTGCTTGCTACGTTCTGGCAGCCGGCCGGAAAGGGTTAAACAAACAAAAATTCTCTTTGTAAATAGATAGAATCCTATGTATCGATATAATGATAATGTGACAGTTCACAAGATAATATAAAGCACAATTATAACAATAATATTCATGACAGCTCGCACATGTCATCATGCTTATCACAAGATTTTGTGAATGATTTAATTGATTCAGTTATGATTCTCCTTAGCTAGAACATTCACTTATATAATAAAAATATATATCCTAGACTCAAGATAATACTGGCAGGATGTATAAGTATCATTGCAATATCCGATGTTAATATTGATCTTAATTGACTTAGAAGTGAACTTTCATTCAGATTCACATGAGAATTAACTTTGATAAAGAAAATGTATTATACATAATTTCCATCTAAATTGACTTAAAAATGGGTTTTATTCACAATCACATTGGAACTAATGCTGAAAAAACAATTTTTACCGTGGTTAATGTTCATCTAATTTCACTGAAAAAGCAATTTTAGTTCAAATTCGAATGAGGATTAGTATTGACAAAAACTTTTACCGTAGCTAATATCTATCTAGTTCGACTTAAAAATCAGTTTTAGCTCCGATGCACATAGGAAATAATATTGAAAAAAATAACTTTCATCGTAGATAAGATTCCTCTAGATCGACTTAAAAATGAATTTTATTACAAATCCTCTTCAGAAATACTACTAAAAAAATAATTTCGTTATAGTTAAAAGTCACCTAATTCCACTTAAGAATGAAGTTTAATTCAATGTCACATAGGAATCATTATCAAGAAAAATTTTTTTATTATAGTTAATATTTACCTAATTTGAGTTAAAAACCAGTTTGGATTTAAATTCGCATAAGAATTAATGTTGACATAAAAGTTTTGTTATAGGTACTATTTATGCGATTCGAATAACAGACAAATTTTACTTCAAATTGACTTGTGAATAAATAGTTGAGACGGTTTATTTTACCGCAAAGAAGATTTATCGAAGTCAATTTCAGTATAGATTTTTATTTTAATTTACTCAGTATAAAATACCGAAAGTTTTATTTCTTGTGGTGAAAAAGATTTATACTAAGCGATAAAGGGGTGAGGTTGGTCTAGCATAAGCTGAGTATGAAATATTGAAAAACATTTTCTTCTCGTAATTAAAAATCATTCATTGACAGTGTGATGTAGATTTTAAATACAGTTAACAGAGTTTGAATTAATGAAAAAGATTTTTTATTGGGTTTGATATTCATGGAATTCAATTAAAATGTCAATTCTAAATAATACTTATTGGATAGACAGTATTAAATAAATATTTCTTCGTCGTAATGAGAAATTATTTAAATCCTTTTTATTGATTATTTTTAAAGAAAAGTAACTCGATTCAAATTATCAAAAAAAAAGGTTTTTTTATCATAATGGAAAATTAGTCAATTTAATTTTGGGTTTGGTTTCGGAAGAAACTAGGCGTACAGTAATGGTTGAAATAATTTTGTTTTCATCGATATTAAAAATTAGTCATTTCATCTAAATATGGATTTTGTATACTATTGACTGACATATGAAGAAGTAAGTGAGTTCCAAAGATGGAATTTCTCTGTAGAATTTGCTTCACTTGGGCTTAATTAGCTATTTCTCATTAATCACGAGGCTTAATTAGTGGAGTCCGATGTGGGTCACCTCTAATTAGGTCACTCCTACTTAGGGTCGTCTTAATTAGTTCGGGCTTAATTAGTATAATCCTAATTAAAGTACTGTTCATTGGTTGAGTTCGAATTAACTCATTACGATTTAATTAATTGAAAAAGATTATGGATTTTATGCTGGTATAGGGTTGTCTATCATATGGTATGGATAATCTGTTCTGATAAGACCGACCCATAAGTTAACTCCAAATTTGGAGTTTACGTATTGTGGGACTAACTTGACTTGACTGAAATAATGGTGTTTTAACATGTTTGTACAAGATCAATCCTAACATGGCCATTCTTAAATTTATCCCTATGAATCGTAAGATTTTATTGTTGTAGTACATGAAAATAAAAAAAATATGAACATTTTTATTTCTCTTGAAAAAATATTATCGTAACAGTAGGAAGATAATTGAAGTATGTCTATCGTTCAATTGTGGTATGATGATAACCTTTTTGTGTCACCGTTGTTCAAACAGTCATCGTGGTCAGAAATTACTATTATTATTCTGATTATAAAGTAATAATCTAGCATTGATTGATGCATTAGATATGAGTATCAGCTATTAAGTTGATTACTATAGCCAGATAAAGGCGAGACGATTTTTAATTCAATATTCTCCTACATAACTTTTTCTAATTTACACTATATTATGATTCTTTTGATGGTTATATCTGAATAAAGGTTATTTATATATTTCCGTGGAAGGACTAGTTTGATCTATATATAGTGTAATCAATTGTATTTAAATTTAAATAATTATTTATACCATTTGGTGTAATCTCACAATTTCTTTCCAAAGATCGAAAATTGAATTACAATTAAAATAAAAAAAAGAGTGTGCGTGTGTCGATAATTTGTCATAAATAATTCTTTCAATAAAGTTCATAATTCGATATACAGTCATTACTCTATGATTTTTAATCTAATTATCTGAATCGCAAAAAACTCGTCGTTTGCATACTAATGAGTGAATGCAAGCAGTTATTCTAGTGATACTAGTATGTAGTAATGAATGAAACTCAACTGATGAGTCTTTTAAGCAAGTAGAAAACGCGTCTTGAGAGCTTCATTCTCATTGCAACTTCATTCTTTTTCTAGAATGGTTTCTATTTCATGCTATGTATTTGACTCTTCGTGAGTTATCTTAAACTAGTATTTAGTCACTCGATACTCTATTTATCAATAAAAGTGAAATCCATTGGATTGTGGTAATTGAACTCATACACCCACATCCTCAAGAGAGTGAGAGTGAGAGCTCACTATTCATCTGGATATGCATCCTCCTCCTCACCCACATCCACATCTTCACACCCTCACACTCATCGAAACTCTCGATACCCACCGCTGTTGCTGAGTTTAACAAACACCAGAGTCTACTTTGTTTCCAAAAGAATAGTACATACAAATATATTTATTCAGTTTAACTGCCAACATATATATATAATCTGCAACGTTTCTTTTATATACTACAGTAATATACAACCACTTCAGTGTTCGTCATTGTTGTGGAGAAACTCTTCTTCGTTTTCTAATCAAATAACACACAAATCTGACAGTCAGAGGAATCATTACTTGTAGAGCAGAAACCAACCCTCCAACAAGACCAAGCAACGTTGTGACAATGTACAGCAC